GACTGACGCTAGACTCACTTGGCATTCTGCCCCTCGCGGGACGGACGCGCCGCCGCTGCTCTCTCACATGGCTTTCACTGTCGAACACCACGCCAGACCGAGTCGACACTTGTGCTAACTATTCTCCTATTTATTCTGTACAGAATACAATCTTCCTAGATCTCTGGTCTCCCAAGACTTCTCTCATCCCCTAAGGAGCAGGGCCTGGAAGATCGCAGCCGTTAGGGTTAAACCTTCATAGCTTTAACACATTTGCGATAAATGTATCTGATTGCCAAAAGTTTTTTTGAAATTTTGGTCAATGGTCACGCAGTCTATCTACAGCTGGACTTCAGACATCATCATCATCTCTGAGACTGGCATTCAATTGGCACTCCCACGACGCAGCGGACTTCTCAGTCCGCTACAAGCGTGGGCGGTGGTCTTGTCCAATTAATGAGGTAACTGCAGTGCTACGTGTCCTTCCGTGGTACGACCACCTTTGATAAATGCTACGTCACTAAGTTTTATCTCAACCTACTTGGTCTCGACTGGATCGAACAACTTGGTTTGGCTGATATTGAGCTCCGTCTTTGTCGTGGTTAAGAATCCGAATGGTTCCATTCGTATCTGCGCCGACTTTTCCACCGGTCTCAATGCCGGTCCCCATTGATTTTTTTTACCCTGCTGAATAGTGGCATTTGCTCTGCCCAGTTGGGTCTGACTAATGCATACTTTCCGATCGAAATCGGTCCAGGGTAGCGCGAATTGCTGACCATAAACACAGATCGTGGTCTGTTCTGATAAACCAGGCTGCGCTTTGGAGTCAAAACCGCTACGGCCCTATTCCAGTAAACGATGAACGTTCTGCTCCCTGGTACGGTTATGTTCCTATACGACATCGCCATCATCTTGGTTCGCTCCCCTGCTGAGTTCCAAGACCGGGCCTGCGCAGTACTTGAATGCATGCAGGGATATGGCTTCCGATTAAGGGCCGACAAGTTTTCATGTTTCCTCAATTCAATCAAGTACCCCGGATTCATCTTTGAAGTCCGTGGTCGCTATCTAGATCCCGAAAATATTTGTGTCACCGAGCGGATACCTGCACATTGGGATTCATCACAACCTCGATCGTTTCTTGGCCTATAGTGCATCGAACCGTCGCTGTATGTCTTACTAGCCCCGCTCAACCGTTTGCTGCAGAAGGATGCTCCCTAGTACTGATTCTTCGATTGTTAAAACGCCTTTGCCCAGCCAAAGTCGATGCCGCGTTTGGATCTGCTGCACACGCACTATGCCCCGACACTTCGCATATTCTTCCCAACGGGTTCAAAAAAAAGGAACATGCAAGCATCCCAAACTTTAACTTTTGCTGAGAAGAACTTTGGCCAAATTGTAAAATCACTAACAAACATCTTTGCCGTAAAGAAATTCCACAAGCTGCTGTAAGGCCATCATTCCACGCTGTTGGCTGACCATAAACCATTGCTGTCAACCTTTGGTTCGAACGAGGGCATTCCAGTCTATTCAGCCAACAGACTTCAGCAACCATTCTTCTCAGTTACTATGTTGACATCCGCTACTGTCACAGTTATGCCCTTTCTTGCTTAATCTGTTATCATCAGTAACCTGAAAAGGACACCATAATTGCTGTCATTTTGATTGAGGACAATGTACGCCATCAGATTTCGGACGCAAGCTGACGGTCAGACGGAACACTATCGATCTAGTTAAGCGAACCCTCTTGAGAGCTCGTGAAGAGAGTACTATTGACGAGATAATCCGGAGGTTCCTGTTTTCATACAGGAATACCGCTAACCCGGCGTAAGCAGACGGTGTCTTTTCCGTCGACGCCGAAAATTTGTTCGGATTTTTATAATCAAGTGGATGCAATAAGTACACGCAGCCTTTTATTGAGAATGATTTGCTGTTTGTAAATACAATTTGCTCGTGGCCGATTGTTCTCTCTTCCCTTCCCGTGTTGGCTTTGGGAAAAGCAGCCAGGCAACCACACGGTTCGTGTTAGTTACAAGAACCATTCGCGGATCATAACAATTCCACAACTCGCTTGTTCACACGAGAGTCCGTACTGAAACTCGCTTATAATTCTGGACAGAAATGCGTAGTTAAACGCAGCAGGTTCAGCAAATCTAAGAACCATCCGGTAACAGCACCGACAGGTATTTGCGTTTTCTCTACTCTGTAATGAATTTTCCCTCGGCTTAAAATTTGATGAATTCGCGTCATTACATTATCGAGAGGAAGAAATCTAACGGTATACTTCGCAGATGACGGGGTATTTGACACAGATGATGAAGCTAAGGAAATAAGTCAGACTACAACCCCTTTTATCAATGTGCACCTTATACCCCTGTTTCTGTATTCATAGAAAAGCACCCTTTCCCAAATAAAGGACTTGGAATTTTCTTCGTTTCCTTTCGACTTATTATGTAGAAGTGCTACTGTCGCACGTGTCTATGGCCCCCAACACCATCTAACGACAACCAGTGTTTGTATGCAAAAATGTTAGCATTTTGCAAATTGAACGAGGGGGCAAAACTCGAGAACTGCCACCGGCGTCTGCACAGACACATAACAAGATTATTCTAGAGAGCTGCCACAGTCAACGAACAAGATTAAAGAGAAACATGGAAGACGCGCTGGTTCATATAGACGGCTAGATAGGATAACAGGGGTAGTAAACCGATGCCGTCAAAACTGTATTAATGAACGTTAGTTCAGCATGGCACATGGAAAACTGGATTCCCCGAGGATAAGCTAACGGTGATTCCAGGGCAGAAGTTTCAAATTAAAATAATCTTGACAAAAATGTATTTCAAGAACAACTTCAAACGGGACTTTCCAAAGATCCGATTAAGGCCCCCAACTGTTCGTTGTCAAAAAGGCTAAATTTATCTTTAGTGACGGTCGCCATCTAAAATTCAAATTGATAAAAGGATAGAGGATATAAGCAGTATGAAAGATATGCACGTGTTAATTTGTGAGATAACTACTGAAATTTGAGCGGTCGTAGTATTTAATGACCTCTCGACATGTGAGTAAAATAAGCGCAGAAAAGGAAAAGCCAAAATAAGATTGCATAAGTTATTCATTTCATCATCGAAATTAAGAAAGATTTGCAGTAGTACCCGCGCAAAGTCTACTGTCACTTAAGACTAAGTTAGGCGGTATTTCTGGCTGCATTGGAGAAAGCAGCTTCCGTCCGATTCCTGCTCGGTCATCTTGACTTCGGTCTTACCACCGATTCAAGAGAGGGATGGTTAGAGTGAGGTAGACAGTTGCGCGTCTATTTCACTATAATCTCGTTTTTGTTTCCTATCACCGTCTCTGCTCTAGAGCACATAGTGGACCTCATCGAAATCGATGGTCAGACGGCACACACACTTAGATATAAAAGTTAAAATGGGGATACGAGCACCGTATGGCAAAATACAAGCATCAATCTAAAAAGGCGACGCTTTGGTCATGGGTCATATAACTCGGTATGATAAGCACACAATGTATTCGGTCGTTAACGGGAGGGCTCGCATTTGGGTAAAAACGTGATTTGGAGGGAAAAGTCGCATCCGTGGCGCTTTATTCTGAGCGATTTTAGTAATAACCTACGAGACTTCTAGTTTATCATCCACAACTAGAGTGAGTGCACCAGAAATCTAACGCAAAAAAAGATTAAGGAAGTGCAGCAATCAAGAACTACAGATAGAAAAATGGGTCGCACAGGGCTTTGTGCAAAAGATGAGGTCAAAGTGTATAAGGTGTACTAGAAAAGAGATAGTTTCAGACCTCAGGCCGGAATGGTCGACTACAAGTTAGTTAGTGAGGAATTGCCAACTGTACAAATGCCCGATCTGGCGCAGCTAAAGACAAAACGTCTGACAGTTTACTTTACGGACTGGCGTTTACGGCGATACTAAGGATTGGCTCCGCTAAGGCCCATGTCGATTGGTGTTTTGTAGCATTAAGTGTAAAATCCAGTTTACGACTGAGGGACTGAAGGATTTTTATATTTTTCTCAAAGCAATAAATTGTCTTGCCGATGTATGGTCTCATAGTGGAAACGTCAACAAAGATCGACTACTGAGTGTTACGGATCCGGGACAAGAGTTGCAGGCCCTATTTTTTTCATCAAATATGAATTACATCATACATAAAGAGGGCAACAGTAAACTACAAAGATAAATACGCTAGGCGAGTTGTCCGAAAAATAATTACAGCTAAAGTGGACAGTTTGATGTAAGAATACAGGAGGGTATCACGGAATTTTAACTGTAATTTGAAAAAAAACCTACTTCAACATTATTGGCATCTAGTTTTTCCTCCATGACTTGACGAAGTATCGTCAACGCGTGCTTGCAGGCCTCATTGAGAGTCATGTCCTGAAAACGAATTTATACATAAAAGGGAAGTGTACCTTCTTGAAGACCTCTTGTAGTGCTTGCTGCGCCCCCTCAGAACCCGACCCAATAGCCTTCGCCTCGTACCGAATATAAGTTCCACTTGGATCCATATGGTAACTAGAAGAAGATGAATAATGAAAACAAGAATGGAATGATTTACAGTTGAGGACCGTTTTCGTCGTGACCAGCGAACAGAAGGGCAACACCAAAAGGACGACTCTACAACGGTTAGCTAGAAAATAAGGATATTACCATTGCTCCTGGTTCAGCGTCGTCATCGCCGAAGGCCAGGGCTAGGTTGCTAACTGCTTGAGTGACATCCTCAACATTCATTTCCTCATTGTAAACAAACCAATGATGGGACGTTTCAACCCTCGCACGGTCGATTAATGTTCGTGCATCCGCCACAAGCCCGCTGACGGCACATGCTATAAAAGTAAAATTTTCTCATTAGGTAAACTAAAGTAAATAATCAAAAACTAAACAACCAAGGAGGTAAAAATGGAGTCAGATAGCAGTATTCGGCAGGCTATTTAAAACAATTAAGAGAATCTGAAATTTAAGGATATACTAGAAATAGAAGACAGGTACCACGCGAAGATGGGAGCTCCCCAGTTCAATAGTTCTTGTTAGCGCTATTAACAGTCCGTCGTTGTTTACTTCGTAAACAACTTACCTGGCCATCGGGATTCTCTGTTGCCAGTTTACACCATGCTCAAGCATACCGTCCCGGAGCAAAGGTCGAAAGGCCTCTGAATATAAGACTGATTTACTTGATGCAAAAAAGGAACCCATTGGAGTTGTGTTCTCTTAAAAACTTAATTTCGTGAGAGACTGGGTTATTCAATATGCTCCGGCGGACTATTCAGTTACAGAAATTCGTCTAGCGCAGGTATGGACTACATCGAGGACGTTAAAATAATGGTGAGCTGCGTTGCAGAAATAAAATATTCGGACAAATGAAAGTTAACTCAGGAAGTAATTCGTTAAAATAAACATAGTCTTTCCGGGTTCCGCAGTCGAACATATCCGGTAGATAGTTAAGATCTGGTGTTAGTGTAAAGTGCTTACTACCCCGAATTCAACTATTTGCAGGGGGAAATCAACTATCAAATAAACCGACAGCGCTACACCTTAGATTAACTTCGTCCCGACTACTGGAATAAGCAACCTTATAACGAAATCGTCAAGTATTTTGGCAAGACCGAAACCGGCCTTAACAGCATACATCTGGCGTGCTACGGATATGTGGGACCTAACCTCTAACCCGACACAAGAATTCTAACGTTGCATTATAAGGTATGCAGCATGTACCACTCACATCCGTGGGCATAGAGTGGAGACATAAGCATGAATTAGTTAATACTGATAAGAGATCTGCGAATAATTAGATGCGGTCTCCCACCTCTCTCACTCACCTTGGCCTAATGGTAAGACATAGACAGGTGGACTGCCAGACGGCTCAGAAGTAGTGACTGACATAGTTAAGCAATTCATTAACGGGTACCACACACGACCTCATCTCGGCAGACATATACTAGGTTTTCACATATCGGGCGCGGCTTTAATCCCATTTGAGTAGAATTAACGACTTAATATGAGACCGTTTCATTTTTTGACACTATTCCCTGTTAATGAGCCTTTAAAATTATGTGTGAGATGCCGATATAACGGTAGAGATTCTGTGACATTATACTAAGGCGTGCGTTAACTTTGGCCGGCTGATGTGGGTTATCTCATGTTTTAGCCATCTCACTTGATTGAGAAAATCGCTCTTCGGTAGGAACCGATTGACAGCCATCAATAATCCACTGAAATTTCAGCTGTGTCCTGTCGCCCATTCTCTTTAACTACGTCACTGACTGGGTTCTCTGGAAGGCCCTACAAGAAACTGACGGTATTGAGCTTGCACCCGGACGCCGGTT